CGCTGAGGAAATATATCAACTTCGCGCTGGGGATCGCCGGATCGCCTTTCACCGTGGACGAAGCGGAGTCCAGCCCGGGGTCGTCACATGTGGTTGCCGCAGGCATTACAATATGGTAAGGGATGTAACATTTCCGTCACACGCTTGAGGAATTTCGGCCAATCACAACACACTGGATAGTTGGCCAATCAGAGCACACCTCGCTTTTCAGAACGATGAGCTTTGTAAAAATCGACACGTTTCAGAAAGGCGGGGCATAGAGGAGAAACAATAATGTACAGTATGTGGAAAATAATGTGTTTTTTTAAACCTTAAACCGCATAAACACATTTCATTACACCAAATACACAAAATAATGTTCTTTTTAGCAGCATCATATGACCCCTTTAAGTAGCTTACTTAAAAAAAATATTATTAGAAGGTATTCTTTCTGGCCCTAGAAGAGTCTATAGCAACACTATATGGAACGCTACTGTAATTCTCGAATTCAGAGTTAACTCTAGTATTAGTAAGATCATGAATCAGGCAAAAACCATACTCCTCATTACCATGGTTTTATTGCACAACAATTAAAAACATTTATATATGTAAGTTGTACCACTCATACTTTTGGAGGGAAATAGCACAGACACTGGACATCGATGAATCTTTCTATGTGCATGTGTATGCGGGAAAAGTTCAGGGCTCTCAATGGCCAATCAATCTAGGTCTGTTCCTTTCCTGCACAGCCAATCACGGGCCCCCTCCATCTTCAGCCCCGTCTAGCCCTTAATTAAGTTAATCCGGCTCTGACTGTCACATCAGGGCCATTATATGAAGTGAATACAAGCTTTTGTTGACCATTATGTTTATTATGACCGTTGATACTGACGCTGAGGTTTCTGTCTCATTTTTACAGAATCTCTGGTTTAGCCAGTTGCGGGGCGTGCATTTTACACCTAGGCCTTCAGTGGCGTCCTACATGAATTAATCCATCTCTTCATACCATCATAATGATGCCACGGCTATAGAAACCATAAATATTACACAGTAATGCAGTATAACATGGCACTACATAACAGACAGGTATCTTATGTAGCGAGAATGAATGCCATTACTAAAGAAAGAAACCCAATTAACAATTGTGCAACACATCATCTGTAGCTGAAGCATTAACCTAACAAAATGACACAAATACAGTCCATCCGATGTTCTTACAGACATTTATTCACCCAAACGCATTTATACCTCACAGATAGCATTGGTATAAAACAAATAAGGTGATTACATGTGTTTTAAAGTTGATCTAACAATTTAATGTTCTCTTACAGCTTTATTTCGTCTTCAGCTTTACTAGGAAAGTGAGCAAGTAACATTAAAATAATTCATACAAGACGATGAAGAAAAGTGTATAGATATGTTTTAACGTACCTCTGTGACTCTCATCTCCCCGCTGGTCTGCCTCGGAGGAAAAGACCGGTTAATACAGCTCCACTCGGGAAACTGAGATATTTTGAGATATAAACTTAAACCTGGATTTATATCGCGCAAATAACATCAGCATACAACGCATCAAGCGATAAAAGAGTCAAAAATGAAAATGAACCTACCATTCGATGGCCCTGGTGCTGCCAACTCGAAATCTGATTGGTTAAAGCAACGGTTTCATTGCCATTGATTTAAGCTAACAGGCCTGCACTGTTGATTCTGAAGGCCTTAAGCAACACGATTGCTGAAATATGATTAGATAAAAGCTCTAATATAAACATGCACTGCTGGAAGCAGTGCAACCAAGAGAAAAGCTATGAAATGAAGAGAATAGACTATTGGAAATAATTTAATACACATTCATGGAAAAATATATTAAACTAAATCAGTGATTCTGATAGTGTTTAGGCCAGCAGAGAAGGCTTTGCTGGCCCTGACGGCCCACCACTGGGTTTAGCCATAAACTGCCCTCATTTTACTTCATAGTGACCTCTATACGAATATATAGGGGGTTATATAACCCTGCCTGATTAAAAAGACAGGCTCTTCCATGAAGGTTATTGCACAACAGAATTGTGAAGGACACTTGGATCTGATGTGTCTCAATCAGAGGAGTTATTTTGTTGAAAGCCAAAATAGTTGGAAAGACTTTGGAGGCTAAACGCCCAAAGCATTCCAGAGATGAACTCCCTACACAAAAACAATGAATAATGAACTTTATGTTTATATAAATGAGAAGTTATCCACAACTGTTACTCCCACTGCTATGGACTGTTTTCTTCAGTGAGTCTGTGGCATTATAGTCAAACAAGTTCATCTAATATAATATAATAATAAAATAATATTAATTCATCGAATTTAAACTTATGTTCTCAATTAAGGTTTTAAATACCATAGACATGCTACATAGAAATGCAAATGTTTACATGGTGAAACACAACACTCTTGTAACATATTATACCCTGAATGTCTTTGGAGGCATATTTGTCTGATGATCAGCGTCTTATACTTAACCCAGACACAACTCTAGACACATATGTGGCATCTTGTCTATGACTGTGAAATATATATGTCATTATTTACTGTGATCTCAGTAAACATTGCATTTTAATAGATGCTTATATTAGACACACACACACACCAAATGGTAAGGTTCATCTGTTTTTGTAGTACAGAGGTGAACCTCAGAGAGGGCCTAAAATATTGTAAAAATAATATTTAAAAACTTCTAAAGAATAGTTTAATAGTTAGTAAAGCAATGCTTAAAAAGTCATACGTTCTGATGTTATTTTAGGAATTCATAATTTGACAATAAACATCTAAATCTTTTTTTTAAGAAATAAACCCTTCAAATCTGCCTATTCAGTTTGTGTTTGAACGTGAAGGGTTAAATGAAAGACGCCCGTTTTCTCCCTATCAGGATGTTTCCGCTGTACGCTTTCAGCTCTGTGATTGGTGATCCAGCTATGACACTACAGAGGGCCAAGCAATGAGAGAGTCATTTCAAATGACAGGAAAATTGACCAACCGTCCCTTTAAATGGGTGGGGTCTGTTATAGCTAAATTTATGACAAGTTCCGCCCACTGTGGCCAACTCTATTGTAAAAAAAGCAATAAGATATCTAGCACTAAATGCACATAACATTAATGAGGAGGACATTGTTGCTAATTTGTTATGCACACCGTTTTAAAGATACTTTTAATGAAATACTTGAGCTGATCGGCAAAGGAAGACAACCCAGCTAACAAAAACAGTCCTATTAAGTTCTGAAAATGTTATTTCTGAATGTTTTCATTTTACCTATGCTGCATGTCTTTGAACTGTGGTGGAAACCTGAAGCATTGACACAGGAAAACCCCACAGACTCCATCTCTGTATAAATAACAGTGTGTGTGTGTGTGTGTTTTTGTGACAAATGAGGACATAAATGTGTATAATGACAAAGGTATAACATAGGTATTACAAGAAGAAGGTGACTTTTCAGGACATTACCCCATGTCCCCACTTTTCAAAACGCTTATAAATCACACAGAATGGAGTGTATTGAAAATCTGAAATAGCACAAAGTCTCCTGTGAGGGGTAGGTTTAGGGGTAGGGTTGGTGTAGGGCAATAGAAAATACGGTCTGTACAGTATAAAAACCATTACGCCTATGGAGAGTCCCCACTTTTCACAAAAACAAACCTGTGTGTGCGTGTGTGTGTGTGTGTGTGTGTGTGCTAACGTTTTGAGGACATTTCTAAAGACCAGATGACTTTGAACAAACATTCTATTGACATTACTGGAAGAATGTTTGTTTAAAACTTTAAGAGAACCTAGCCAGAATGTTAGCAAATGTCCCGAGAATGTTCCCTGTTAGCTGGGTATCTGCTAAACGCCACTATAAAGCTGCTTTGAAGCAAGGTGTCCTGTGAAAAGCACTATACCAAAGCATTTGACCTAGACTCATTCTAAGGACATTTCATTTCACAACATTTAATGCAAACATTCTGCAAATATTAATAGCATCATAAAAACGTTCCAAGAAGAGGGACATCAGCATCTGTTTTTGTCTTAGAAAGCTGTCCAGATTTCACATTGATTAATCCATGATGACACTGTTTTATCGGGCATTAATTGAATCGGTTATGTCATTTTCTCTTGTGTCATGGTTTGGAAGTTTGTCTTTGAAGAACAAAAATTTCCATTAAACAAGCACCCTTTATATTATAGATCAGTGTTTCCACCATGTTTCAATTCGACACGCCCCTTCTAACATCACAACTATCTATCTATCTATCTATCTGTCTATCTATCTATCTATCTATCTATCTATCTATCTATCTATCTGTCTGTCTGTCTGTCTGTCCATCTATCTGTCTATCTATCTATCTATCTATCTATCTATCTATCTATCTGTCTATCTATCTATCTATCTATCTATCTATCTATCTATCTGTCTATCTATCTATCTATCTATCTATCTATCTATCTATCTATCTGTCTGTCTGTCTGTCTATCTGTCTATCTATCTATCTATCTATCTATCTATCTATCTATCTATCTATCTGTCTATCTATCTATCTATCTATATATCTGTGTGTCTGTCTATCTATCTATCTATCTATCTATCTATCTGTCTATCTATCTATCTATCTATCTATCTATCTATCTATCTATCTATCTATCTATCTATCTATCGGTCTGTTTATTTATATTTTGGGTCATTTTAACCCCAAACATGACTATAGGATAACAATCAATTTTCTACAGGTTTACTGATACAACAGACCGATTAATACGTGGCTACAGGGTTTTGATTAAGTCAGAGGAACACACTTATAAAAAAAACTGAAAGGAAAATACAGAGTTTCAAAGTGAATTATTCGAGTGAATTCAATTGGGATATGGAGTCTTTATATTTACAGTATAAGCATAGAGAAAAAAATGAGCATACACTTAATTAAGAATATAGCATAGTTCAAATCAGTAACTGTTTACTGTAAGTAAAGATTTGGGGAAGACAGTGATCATAGTCCTTGGTTGCCTAACCCACCGCACCCAACAAACAGATCAGCACATATCAGACACATTGGAGCAATATTTCACTGTGTACCAGCAAGACCGAATAGAAACTGGCCACAGAAGGGCAAAAGAAGAAGAAAATGGAAACTTTGACGATGGAATACGAAACAGTTTTGAACTCGTGCCGGATATTTTGGTGAAAAGCATGTTTCAGCAAGTCATACCTGAAAAGCTTAATGGACTCGGAGCATTGCTTTAGATGAACGCTCGTCAGTCGCAGCCTATAATGGTTTCGAAAGGTAATGCAAAGTTTCTTTATTATCTTTTCTCTGACATTTCCCTTCTAGCCTGAATGTATTATTGTATTGCATGCTATTCATAGCATATGACAGAGCAGCCTATAGCCTAACAAAATTTACTTTCACTTTTACTTTCAAGTGTTTTCCGTTATTCGCTTATTGTTTTATAACCAACTTTTGAATAAATAACCAACGCCCATGGTTTCCAGGATTAAAAAAATAAATAAATAAGAACAAAAACAAAAAACATGGCGGCAGTGACTGAACTAATCGAATACATATTTCTTATATCTGCGCTGAACTGCAGGAAGCGCATGAACAGTTAGACAAGCGCGTGCGGTCTCGAGCAAGCTACTTAGTGTAAACACGCTATATTCTTTTTTTAAAAGCACTGCTCACATACACACTTTCTGTTAAAGCTAGACAATTAGAAGATTCTACTCATATAAATAAAGGTGACTTGACTTGACTAGAGATAAAAAGTAGTCCAAAAAAAAAAACACATCTAACATAACGTATACATTGCTTTTTTTTTACATCATTAAAGTGCTTATTTTTTAATTAACAAAATGTCTTTATAATAGAATATTCAATACAATATAATATTCAAGATACCATATAATCTTCATATTTATAACTGTATATACACTGTAAAAAAATGACAGTGAATTTAACGGTAAAAGACTGTAAAAATGCTACAGTAAAAACCTGTTAAATGTTTAACGGTAAGTTCCCCTACTATATACGATGAAAAACTGTATTGGACATTACATGTAATTTTACGGTAGTATACCATTTTTGGAAGTTAAAAAGATTGTATAATTTACAGTGAATAACCGTAACTTGACATTCCCATGATTCACTGCGTAACATTTCAAATTTGATGTTTTTTTTTCGTTGAAATAACTGTTTCTTCTTAGTTTTTTTCTTATCAGTTGTGTGCATTAGGGTTGTATGTTACATCTAATGTTGTTCAATTAATGTTTAGAGCATGATTTCAGTTTAAAGTGTTACCATGATGGTGTTTAGTGTTTGTGTGAATGACACTCTGCACCTTCTATATATATATATGTTCATATTTAAAAGCTGCTTGTGATGGGCTTTGGTTAATCATGTGCTTTTCTCATCACCACCTGCTTTTGGTGCAGTGTATTACAAAGGTGCAAAACAGATTTCAGTATTTCAGTGGGTTGGTATATTAACATTATATAATAGTTAATATATATATTATATAATTTCAGTTAATGAAATTATGGTATTTAACTGTACATTTAAGTTAAAACCTAAAACGCTGCTACCGTATTTTTTTGCGGTAAAATTCAGGCAACCACAGCTGCCGTTTTTTTTACCGTAAATTTTACTTTTTTTTTTTTTGTATAGTAGAAATATAGGGTTAGAATCTTTATTTTATTACTGGCAGCGGCTATTTACACTAAGTGTAGATGCTATTTACAGTAAGCAAAAATAGCATATTTCTTAGCGATATATGCTATTTACACTAAGTGCAAATAACAGCAGTATATTCTTTGCAATAAGCGATATGACGGGTTGCCAAGAATGGTGTCCCATACTCAGAATTTGTGCTCTGCATTTAATTGAGGATACTGATTCAGACCCGGCGCCAGACACGAATTCACGGACAGGCATTTCATTTTTTCAGGGGGGCACAAATGAGATCAACCTCAAGAAGATTACGTAAGAGTCGTAAAGACTGGACCTAGCCTACTGAAGCAGTCTAAACACACGTCGCAGGACTCGACATCAACTCTTGTCCGCTTATCCGGGACAAGTGGATTTTTTAAAAGGCCAAGTGAAAGAGAATTTGACTTGCCCGACCGGACAAGTAGCCTAGCCTAATTAAAACGCCAATAACAATCACCAAAACGCGATAATGATTCTGCATCATTTAGTCTAACGTAAATGGCGATCGATAGTGCATAATGTAATGACGCTAACAAGGCTGCGCTGCCTCTCTCAAGGAGAAATCGAAACAAATGAGCGCAGCAAACACAAAGTGAGTTAACAGTGTGTTAACAAAGTGAGTTAAACTCAGTTAACCTACTGCGGTTAAAAAAAAGTTTTTATAACATGATACAGTTAAGCAACATCACACGACCAAGAGTGCTG